GACTTTAATCGTGGTCTCTTGCTGCACTACTATGGCATTCGTCGCCTTCCCTCGCACTATTTACTTTGGTTCCTCGTCCACCGAACTTAACAACAGCCTGTTGGGTACAGAAATTTACCTTTGCAATCTATGTTCTAACTAGGAACTAAATCGAGTACCATACGAGTACATTACGTGTCATTATGCATAATCGCTGTAAAGCAACACATGAAGATTGCCATTGCGGCTAATTGAGGACAGTATGACTGACTATATTATGTACACGGAATCTTGAAGTTTGCTCCACGAACGGGGTAACTATGTTTCCATAATTAAAAGGATTGTTCTAACTGCAGTGGCGGTGTTACATAACACTTTAGTAATACGGTAGTAATTCTGAGTAATAGCATGGCAGGGGAGGGGGCAGTACAGGGCAGACGTCGTTTACAAGGCCAGCTTACAACTCGGGGACATGCTGGAAGCAGATCTGCTTTTGAAAAAAGATATTTCCTTCTACAATACAGTAATCAGTGCTCTACTTCAAAAGTTGTGTAAAGCGGTGAACACTGTGGACACCACAAACCAGAAACGTTCTGCTTATGCGAAACGCTGAATGCGATAATCGCAACAAACAAGCACAACAAACAATGTACTTCGACACTCAGAGGTTGAATGTAATGTTATAGCCTCACAAATCTCCTATTATATCAATCCAACAACAGTGCATGGCTGGATGAATGATTGAATAATGAATGAAAGTGCACATTGGCATTCAAGCCTTTCGCAACTACCTGTTAGATTTCTATGAGCAAGGAATTAATCGTCAGATTCTGTGGTGCAAAAACGAGTCTAAAAAGGATGATCAGTTTTATACCATGTCAACGAGGGGTGAGGTAGCGTGATGCCCTCTCTTATTACATACTATAGCTCGTGAGAATTATGGTCCTGTTGTCTCATGCATGTATTTTGCATAAGGCGTGACTCGTCTTCACTCGTCTGATAGCCAACCGAACCAGAACAAGTTGTGATTCATATATTAAAAAAATTACAATACAAACTGTAAACATTAGTGTCCTCGAGTAATGAGCGCATCACCCTATGTCGAACTGTACGTTTTCTAAATTTCTTCTTGATTTCGCTAAAACATTATTTTATGAAACGCGTTTCTCTTACCAGTCTACTGGTTTCACAGTGGTTGCCGAAAGTGGGAGTGACG